ATTTATTTACACAACCATACTTATAAAATTAATAGTAGTACTAGCAATAGTGATACCGGAATGAAAAAAAAACATGTTATAAAAATAATTCAATGCATTAGATTATATATAATAACCTTAAGCTAACCTTATAAGCTATAATAACCTATAGTTGGGTTATATGTTGGGGTATTTTTAACTAAAACTATTTTAACAGAGTAGGTTAAATGGCATTTTGAAACTTTGTTTGTAGTCTTGCTATTTTTATTATTTTTGTAAATAATAGTCTCAAAAATAGCCCCTATAAAATTATATCAGGAAGACCTAATCATTTATATGCTTTTGTAATTTTCTTTTGGTCTGTTTTTTGGTGTAAACAAACCATTTTCACATACACAAACACACATATGCACACTTCACACAGGTAAGAAAGTTGTTTTGTGGCTGTTGTTATATTGGAGTATTTCACAAACACAATTAAATGAAAATTTCAGGCACAACCATTGCTACAATTAAACTGACACTAGGAGGCGTCTAGGTGGCGCAGTGAGTAGCATGATCGCCTCACAGCAAGAAGGTCACTGGTTCAAGCCTCGGCAGGGTCTGTTGGCATTTCTGTGTGAAGTTTGGAGGATTTGGAGTGAAAATTGTCCGTAGTGCAATTACACTAGTGTGTATGGGTGATGGGTTGCAGCTGGAAGAGCATCCGCTGCATAAAACATGTGCTGCAATAGTTGGTGGTTCATTCCGCTTTGGTGACCCCTGATTAATAAAGGCACTAAGCCAAAAAGAAAATGAATAAATGAATGAACACCGTTGAGAACAGCAAACATGTAAACTGAACAATAGAAAACTGCAAAAGGTCTGATGAGTCTTCAAATGATTAGGCCAAAGTTAGACATAAACAACAGAAAAGCATGGATCAATCCTGCCTTCAGTTCAATAATTCAGAAGAGTGGTGGTGTAATAGGCCGGTTAGAACACCACTTACAACTACAGCTTACCTGAGTATCGTTGCTGACCATGTCTATCCATTATAATTACACTGATCCCATTGTGTGATGGCTACTTCCAGCAGTCAAACATGCCATCTGAAAATCTCAAACTGGTTTCTTAAATGTGACAGCTCACAGTTCACTGTACCAAACGGCCTCATCAGACACCAGATCTCAATCCAAAAGCGCACTCTTTGGATGTGGAGGAAACGTAGATTCAAATCACAGACCAATCTATAGTAATATGGCAATATGTACCAAAGTTTCCGAGGAATGTTTCCAGGATCTTGTTATGAATGCAAAAGGGGCTCCAACTACAAAGGTGTCACAGCTTGAAATTGAAATAGGCTATTAACGTGTGAAGTGTGTACCTCAAAACTATTTAATCTGCATTTTAAAGGGATAGTTCACACCAAAATATATTATCTGCCATCATTTACTCTCCCTTTCCTTGTTCCAAAACTAGTTTGACTTTATTATTTCTTCTGATAAACGCACATAAATATATTTTGAATGAAGCCGGAAATCTGCAACCATTGACTTCCATATTGTTTTTCATACTGTGGATGTCAATGGTTACAGGTTTTCAGCTTTGTTTCAAAATATCTTCTTCTGTGTACAGCAGAATAAAGGGACTCATAGAGGTCTGGAAACCCTTGATGGTAAGTAAACATTGGGTAAAGTGTCATTTTTAGGTGAACTATCCCTTTAACAAGTCTCGTTTACCTGCAGCAGCTGCATTGGGTCTGTTCTGCCACTAGAGAGCAGTATCTGCATAACCTTATGTAATCTCATGAGAGTGACCTTGTGTTAGTATAGTAAGCACAGTGCCTCTGACCCACAGTGACCTGTATAATTGCTTCTGGCCTACATTGTGTTCTCCATCCTGCAGAAAACTCCAGGTTCCTTTGTATTACAACTATTATGGTTACCTTCTTTTTGAACTGTTGTTTTTTCATAGTTTGTGCAATCTTTCCAACCAATTTATGATTCAATTTTTCGAAAAATAAGGAATACTTATTTATACTTATTAATACTTATTAATAGCTGCCAAAGTGTCAAAGTTGAACATAGTGTAATTTTGAAAATAATGTCGTCAGTTCAAAGCAATGCAGTTGAAACCACACTGTGTGTTGTAATGGCTGTGAGTGTGTTTGTATGCACGTATAGATGTTGCTATTTGACATGAGTTTGAGTATGAAGAAACACTTGCTGTCTGTAACTTCACAAACACAATAAGCCTTACTAACTTGTCAACAGTGGCATCTAACGGCAAAGGATGTGAACTGCTTCTCAATGCAGTGTTTAAAGGGATAGTTCACTCATGGAAATTAGCCTACTCGAAATTTAATCACCGTCCAGTAGTTCCAAAACTTTTATGAGCTTTTATTTCTCTGTTCAACACGAAACAAGATATAAACATGCCTGAAATCTGAAACCATTTAAATCCATTGTAGGGAAAAACTAATATTTTGGAAGTCAATGGCAACTGTTTCCAACATTTTCTTTTTTTGTGTTCAGTAGAAAAATGTAACACACACTGGTAGGTCTATATAATAAGTGAAGGGTGAGAAAATGATGATATTTTATATTTGTGTGGTCAGACTTATCTATTCATTTTATAAAATTTTGGATGGCTTTCATTGTTTATGTATATTTATTTGTTTATTTGTTTTGAAGATTTCTTTAACCATTTAACAGGCATCATAACCACCTGGTTGACCTTTTATCTATAGGTTATCATTATTATTTTAACTGCTTCATACTGTTTATCAGAGTTGTGTGTCAGCATATTATTCAATACAAGATGTGGGCCGAAAAGGACCATTGTTTGAAATCCTGCTCCAATTTACAAGAGTTAGTCATAATACAAAAATCGGCACGCGCAGAAATTTGCAGATTTATGCCGATTTTTAACCCATCATTTATTCTATTAATTTATATGTGTAAATGTGTGTAAATTTAACTTTGTTCAGTTTTTAATTTATTTTCAGTAATATTATTGACTAACATAAAAGTGTTCATTTGATTCATTTACAATAAACTTTAGTCATATTTATACAGTCATATTTTCTGTTTTTCAGTATGAGAGATCTAATTTGATTTGCATTGTAAACCTTAAATAAAGTTAAAAAACTATTATTTTTCATTTCATGTATTAAGTTTTTAGTCATGATACTCCCAAAAAAATTCCACATAAATCCGCAGATTTTGTACAAAATTCTCTGCAGAAATAGCTAGAAATGTACAAAGATTCCGTCTGGCCCAAGTCATAATTTGTTCCAATTCATTTGGGCAGTTTTAATGTTCTTTTATCAGTTTAAAATCTGAATAATAGTTTATAACATTGTTAAGGCAGAATAGTGGGGAGAGAAGGAACATCAGCTTGGAAATTAATCAAGGTCCAACTCAAACTAAATCCCTTTGTACAAGCTACTAAACATGTTTTATTAACAAAAAATATTAATGTTTAATTAACAAAATAGCATTTGATGTTAAATTGGGGCTGAACTCTGAAACATATAAAGGGCCCCATATTAAATAATATTTCAGAACTGGGTTGTGGCTGAAAGGGCATCCACTGTGTAAAACATAAGCAGGAATAGTTGGCTTTCCATTCTGCTGTGGTGACCCCTCATAAATCAGGAACTAAGCTGAAGGAAAATGAATGAATATTAAATAATGCCTTCTTTAAAAAAATAAAAAATAAAAAAAGGTTTGTAAATAGTTCACCCAAAAAGGAAAATTCTGTCATCGTTTACTCATCCTATACTTGTTTCTTTGTTCTGTTATGTTGAATACATTGGATGATAGGCCTATGGAAGAATGGGGAAAACAGCCACTGATTTTTTTTTCTTTTTTTGGTATTTATCCATATACTATGGATGTTTTGTGTTTAACAAAAGAAAGAATTTAATAACAGTTTAGAACTACTTGAAGATGACAGGCCCGTAGCCGGGGGGTGGGTTATAAAGATAAGAAAATATCTTTTAAATTGAACAATTTCATAAATGATTTACAGACCTGTGTGTGTTGGTTCATTTCCAATATGTAGTGCAATATTGTTTACAGTTGTGCACAGCTCTACCCAAAGTTTGTTGTAAATAAGGGTGATTTTTTCTTTTGGAGAATGCTGTGAATAAATTAGAATTGCAAAAAGCAAATGCAGTAAACATGTGAAACATACAAACATTCAGTGTCTTGTACTCAGATACCTCACTATATGCAGTGATGTCTAACTTTACTGTAGTTTTCAAACGGCTGTGCAAATAGTACCTAGTGCTGTCATGAGCATTTTCACGAAGTGTCACCAAACTCTGACTTTTTTGCATTGGAAAAAATGTACAGAGTAAACTGTTATAATGAAAACATGACAAAGCCATTTGGCTATCTTCATAAACAATGGTGTCAGGACTTTTCATCTTGATCATACTGACACTTTCATTGACATCAATACTTGCGTTTGAGGAATGAGCTATCCATTTTGAGTAAGTGACACGCTTTTGCAGGTTATCAACAAGGTTTTGCAGTTTGTAATAATTGTTTTGAGAAATGCACAAACTGTTGTGCAAATGGAAATAGTGTTGTGAGAAATGCAACAAAGCGACTAAGAAAAATTGTAATAAGGATGTAATTTCAACAAACAATCGCCTGAGGGCGCTTAAGGAGCGTTTTTTTCTCGGTTAAGGATTAAAACCACTATCAACTTCTGAAATATGATGAGCACTGAATAAAATAAACTGTTCAGAACGTGCTTGCGTAATTTATTGGGTAAAGTCCTTTCAGAAGTTCCTTATTATTCTACACTGAAAGTAAACCTACAACAACAACAACAACAACAACAACAATAACAATAATATAAACGAGAATTATACAGTTTATAATCAATACATGTTTTTTGCAAATTAATAGTTGTGTTTCTAATAAACGTGGGACGAATAAACGTTTGGTCTGTCAGGTGCTCGCTTACGTCATCGTGGCGAAAGAAAGTGAAGGGGCAACGTGAGAGTACTTGACATCTCCATTACTGTTAAGTCCTCTTTGGCTCTATCATCTGTGGGGAAATTCGTGACAGAAGTCATTTAACTTCCTTCGAAATGCATCCGTTTCCTGAGAGGAAGTAAGTGATTCCAGATCTCCTCCACAGACAGCTAGGATGGGACTGACCTCGACCGATAAATACAATTTGGTACTGTTCGCGCTGGAATTAGGTGAGACAGACATTTAAACTCGAATGGAATTACTCATTCTTTGTTTGTATGTAATGTAAAAGTCACAGCTTAGTTGAATTTTCTCAGTTAATTTGGATGAAGTTTACTTTACGCATTGGTTATGAATTATTCACAAGCATTTTTAGGATGAAAAATTGAGTGTAATGTTCTGACTAATTTAATATATTTTTTTTGTATTTCAGTTTCATTAGCTCAGACAGCATGTGCTGGAGGAACATGCGAAACTATATTTAAAGGTTTCTCCGACTGTCTGCTCAGTCTTGGAGAAAATATGATGAACTATCCCCAAGAGCTGGACGACAGAGAAAACCTTCAGACCATCTGCTCGTAAGTACACACAGTACGCTAGCATCTTTGAAGAAAGGCTACTAAGCATCACATAACTGGTAATTTGTCGTATCCTAAAATTGAGCTCATGCCATCCATGACTATTTTATTTGTGAGGGCTAAACGAGAGTGTGTTTATCCTCATGCAGATATTGGGATGACTTCCACTCTTGTGCCTCCACCGCAATCGCAGACTGTCAAGAAGGAGCAACAGACCTTTGGGAAAAACTGAAACTGCAGTCGCGGAGCTTGAACTATCAGGGAAGCTTGTTTGAATTATGCTCTGGGAATGTTGGAGCATCTCTAGTTTTATTACCTCTGGAACTGAAGATACTGCTGATGTGTTTCTCCACACTCATTTCTTGGCTTGCTTTTGAGTAACAAACACAAAGATCTGAGCTGAAACAAGTTACTAAATGGATATTATGCACCCCTGTCTCTCTTGGAATGAAGCAATTCGTGTTTTGATGTACAGTATGCGATGTATGATGAATATAAGACATCATGGCACTCTTTTGAAAAATTGGTGTTAAAGAATTCCAAAATTTGGATTTTAAGTAGCTGTTTTAAACCGTTTATTTAATTTGAAGTTAACCCTCTCAAGGCAGGCGTTGCAGATTTGCAACAGTTAAAAATTAACTACCTTATTACTCCAGATACATATTTTATATTTAGTTTTTTTTTTTACTCAGAAGTCCCACTGCAGGACTTGGTTGTCCATTAGCAACAAACAGTTACCCCACTTGCTCACCAGATGACACAAAAGACAAAAACTGTTTCTTGGAGTACCACATGACATAGTGACTTGGAAACATGACCTACTCAATCAGGATTTAAGATATTGGATTTGGATGCCATATTGTTTTTGTTGTTGTTCTGCCACAGAAAAGCAATTTGTTGCATTGTTTGAAAAGTTGTACATAAAAAGTTATTGTTCATATCAAATTCAGTCGTCAGTGTCTAATTACCACACTGGGCCAATGTTGCAAATCTGCAACATCCCAGAATGCCTTGCATGTGAAGGTCTCTCTAAAAAAGTCAGGATTCTATTGTACTACCCTATATGATAATTTTCCCCAAATATCAGATTTTTCTTTTTTTTAAACTTAGTTTGAGCCTGAGAGGGTTAAAATACATAGCTATGGTGTAATAACAACTAACATTCGGAATCGAGGGGTAAATAATAGCATGTTTTTATACAAAATATGATTATTATAATCATTAAATGGTCAAATTTAACATCCTGTAAATCAAAGACCATCTGTCCAATTAGGAAAAGCGGACTTTTATTTATACACTAATACTTTCAAAATTAAAATGCCAGTTTCAGTACCATCAATTATAGAGGTGTCTTTTCTGATGCTGAATCTCGAACAAATGACGTACAAATCAAATAAATCATGCAACTGTTTGTGTTAAGAGCCAATATTTTCTTGAAATGGCACATTCTGTTGTGTTTTGGTATTATAATTCATTTAAGTAGCTTGAATAACTGATTTTAAAACTGTAAAAAGCAGGTATTTATTACTTAACAAATTTTACCACTGCATATTTTTATATAAATTGTACATAAGCTGTTTTTTGTAAGCTTATAAATGCCTTCAAATAACATTATAGGATGTTTGTCTTTGCTCTGACAACTTTAGATGTTCAAAACTGAACTCAGTAATTTAGCAAAGTGACTTTTTAACAAATGTGTACTAGAATTGTTCTGTAATTACGCAGATTTATTTATTAGTGCAAGTTACTTTTGATTAAATGTAATTAAATACACTCAATCCCACACTGAGAATTGTGTAAAAAGGCTCTAAAAAGTTTTTTATTTAATTATTATTTTACACTTAAAATAAACCTACATAATAATAATATTAACAATAATAATAATATGAATGAGAAACTTTGCAGTTTACAATCAATATAAGATCATGTTTTTTGCATATTAATAATTGTGTTTTTAATAAACGTGCCACGTTTCATTTTAATTCTCGTAAGAACCTTTAAAGAACCTTTCCTAAAAGAATCTATTTTTTTCTTATTGATTACAGAATACGTTCTCTATATATTCTGCTATCAATGCCAGTAAAACACCTTTATTTTTAAGAGTGTATATTTTTCACAGAGGCTGAGCAATTGCATGTGTTTATTTAAAGTTACAGAGCCTCCAGCGTTCCTCTTTAATGACAGCAGAAACCTGAACATCTGTCTAAAGCCATGCGCACACTATAGCACATATTAAAACAGATGAAACGGGATGGAATGGCAGGAAAAGCACAGATGCTCTTTTTCCTGTGAATCACGGCCCTCAAAATAGGACCACGGCCTGGTTATTAACACGTGCAGTACTGAGGGTCCGAAGCGTTCCCCAAAGGCATTCATTGACTCAAGCACATCTGTCTTTTTGTTTGCTATATAGCCTAAACAAAATAACCTCTCATTCAGTCACCCTGAGTGTAGAATACACCATCCTGTATGTGGGATACGTTGCGTGTGTGTGGAAAGTGGAATAAGAGTTGCTTGAATTATTTAATCAATATCATTTGCAGTTCTTACATGCAAATGACTCGTCTCTGCACTGTCTATGCTAATTCCAGAGCAGAAAATGTAAGCGACTCATGAGTGTTTAATTATTTAGAGACTCCTCTGGACCCGGGACAGCTTCAAAAACACAATAATGCACTCAGTTTGGCATGAACGCTTAGCATGTGCTTTTTTTGGCATTAGAAGTAGGTTTTTCTCAGAAATGTTTGCTTTTGGAAAACATTGTCTATAAAATGGCTATGTTAGAGTGGCATGATTCTGGGTATAATAAGAATTATGTTTTTTTTAAATATACAGGGTGGACCATTTATAAGGATACACCATAATAAAATGGAAATGGTTGGTGATATTAACGTCCTGTTTGTGGCACATTAGTATATGTGAGGGGGCAAACTTTTCAAGATGACCATGGTGGCCATTTTGAAGTCAACCATCTTTGATCCTACTTTTGTTTCTTCAATAGAAAGAGGGTCATTTGACAGATCAAGTCATAGACAATTGCCTTCAGATGACCCCAAAGATAAAAGTCCAAGGGAGTCAGATCGGCAGACCTTGGGGGACATTCAACTGGCCCACGACAACCAATCCACTTTTCAGGAAAATGTTCATTTAGAAATGTTCGGACCTGACACCTATAATGTGGTGGTGCACCATCTTGCTGGAAAAACTCAGGGAGCGTGCCAGCTTCAGTGCATAAAGAGGGAAACACATCATCATGTAGCAATTTCAAATATCAAGTGGCATTGAGGTTTCCATTGATGAAGAATGGCCCCACCCACTATCTTTGTTGTCTATGGTGTGAAGATACAAGATGTGCAGCACCTGAAACTACGGATACTGGAAGCCTGTGCTGGCATTTTTCCTGCAGTCTTGCTATTAGTGTGTGAAGAGTGGGAGAAGAGGATTGCATTGACAATCCAACACTGGGCAGCATATTGAACATTTTATAAGTGGTCAGAAACGTGTAAATAACTCATAAAAAGAATAAAGTTATGTTAAAACCAAGCACACCATTGTTTTTCTTGTGAAATTCGTAATAAGTTTGATGTGTCAAATGACCCTCTTCCTATTAAAGAAACAAAAGTTGGATCAAAGATGGTCGATCTTAAAATGGCCACCATGGTCACCACCCATCTTGAAAAGTTTGCCCCCTCACATATACCAATGTGCCACAAACAAGACGTTAATATCACCAACCATTCCCATTTTATTAAGGTGTATGCATGTAAAATGGCCCACCCTGAGCTAAATGATACAACTCTTGGGAAACTTGCGTTACTGATTTGTATTGAGACAACATGAATGAATTGTGTGGAACCCTGCATTTTTTACAGGTTATAACAAAATAAATAAATAAATAAATAAAAATTATATATATATATATATATATATATATATATATATATATATATATATATATATATATATATATATATATATATATATATATATATACTAAAGAAAACCCAAAGGTGCTCTGTTGGATTGAGCTATGATGACTGTGGAGGTCATTTGAGTACAGTGAACTCATTGTCATGTTTAAGAAACCAGTCTGAGATGATTCATGCTTTATGACATGGTCCATTATTCTGCTGGAAGTAGCCGTCAGAAGATGGGTACACTGTGGTCATAAAGGGGGGTGGACATGGTCAACAACAATACCTTGATTGTAACGAGTGGTTATTTGAGTTACTGTTGCCTTTCTATCATCTCGAACCAGTCTGGCCATTCTCCTCTGATCTTTGGCATTTACTCCCACAGAACTGCCGCTCACTGAATATTTTCTCTTTTTTGGATAATTTTCTGTAAACCCCAGAGATGGTTGTGCATGAAAATCCTCATAGATTAGCAGTATCTGAAATACTCAGACCAGCCTGTCTGGCACCAACAACCATGCCATGTTCAAAGTCACTTAAATCACTTTTCTTCCTCATTCTGATACTCGGTTTGAACTTCAGCAGATCATCTTGGTCCTGTCTAGAGTTGCTGCCATGTGATTGGCTAATTTGCCTTAACAAGCAGTTAGACAAGTGTACCTAATAAAGTGGCCGGAGAGTTTTTCTATTTTTATATTCATTTTTTTTGTTTGGCTTAGTCCCCTTATTAACCTGAGGTCACCACAGCGGAATGACCCACCAACTTATCCAGCATATGTTTTATGCAGCGGATGCCATTCCAGTTGCACCCAGAGGAAACTCGCACGAACACAGGGAGAACATGCAAACTCCACTCAGAAACTGAACCAGCTCAGGCTCGACCCAGAGACCTTCTTGCTGTGAGGCGACAGCGCTACCCACCGTGCCACTATATATAAAGAATACATGTATTGTGTACCAATATTTATCTGCTGACATTGAATTGATTTAAAGCTATCAGCATATCGGCAATAATGTGAAAAAGTCAGTGATGGACAATCCAATGTGCAATGTTTTCTCAGAGCAAAATTGTTAATGCTGATATGTACAAAATGTCAGATGTGTGTTGTGAAAGCAGCTTACATGCAAAACTTGTTTATGAAGCAATTTCATTATGACAACTGCCCTCTTTGGGTGGAAAGCCGATCAAAATGTCTGGTCAGACCATGTCTCTGTCATGTCATGATTTTAGAATAGTAATGCATGTTTACAGTAAATCAAGATTTGGATCTTTATACAAATAACCACGTAACTTTATAATAATTATTGGACACCACAATCAAGTCACAAACAAATTTAGTTGTTTTTGCAGATCTGTGTGAACAAAAAGTATTATTTTTGACAACACAGCTGTCTGTACATGAAGATACTATTTAAAAACATATATAGTACACGGTTAAAGTTCAGATAGATATTCATCAAAACTCTAAATATGCAAGTGTTTTCAACACACTTCAAATACATCATGTGTTTTGAAAATCTAATTCATAGCTGATAAGACCATTGCATGAGTCATAAAATGTTTAGTACAAGCCCAGGAAATGGGTCTGATGAATATCATTATGTGAAATATTTAAGGTGTTGTCAGAGCAGATGATGCCGCTGGTATGTGAGGAGTCTGAAAGTGTTCTTTACCAAACCGTGAGAAAACCATGCACTGTGAATCATCTCAGAGTATCAGGAAGACTCAGCACTTACTAGTGAATGTGTTTAAAGAAGCCCACCAAGAAATTTTGTGTTAGAAATCTAAACATAAAAAAAGCTATATTATACAGTATACGTACACTACCTGACAAAAGACGTGTCCTCATATCAAAGTTTTAGGAAAACTAATAATAACTTGACATCTAGTTGATCATTTGGTGTCAGAAGCGGCTTATAAAGCAAAGGACTCTAGATTACGCTTATTTTACCAAAATGAAATATGATCATGTCTTGATTTTTAATGATTTAATTAGGACTGTAAGGTCTGACTTTGCTTAGACAAAAGTCTTGTCACTGAACAGAAATAATGTTCAGTATAAGAATATAAAGTTATGGTGCAGTGGAAAAAGAATTAATATTGTGTTTTGTGTATGACTCCCATGAGCTTGGAGGATTGCATCCATACATCTCTGCAATGACTTAAATAACTTATTAATAAAGAATCTGGGATGGCAAAGCAAGTGTTCTTGCTGGACTCCCAGAGTTCATTAGGATCCTTTGGATTCATCTTCAATGCCTCCTCCTTCATCTTACCCCAGATATGCCTAATAATGTTCTTATCTAATGACTGGACTGGCCAGTCCTAGAGGACCTTGACCTTTTTTGCTTTCAGGAACTTTGATTTGAAGGCTGAAGTATGAGAAGGACCGCTATCCTGCTGAAGAATTTGCCCTCATG